GCTGAATCCCCTATTCACACCCGATACAGTGTTAATAATGTAATACTAGAGAATTTTAAAGTAAAGCTGCAGAACAAAGTGCAAATGAATAACCTCAATTTCTCTGAAGACTTTGAAGGGTCAGCATATATTTGTATGCCAGATAAGTAGGGAACATAGTACTGAACCACACTATCATTTTCATTCAATATCAAAGGCACTCCAGCACCATATGCACTCCACTCTTTGAAAGCCTCCCACAAATCACCTAATAGAAAATATGGCTTAAATCCTTCATCACGCATCTTACAATTCCTCAAGGTGGTCTGTTGTTAGCACATAAAAATCAATCAAAACCCCATTTGGATAAACATTATAAAAACTGAAAGAACAAAAACAGGCCCAACGAAATTCAACTTAAGATGCTCAGTTATAACAAAGATAGTGATACAATTTTCATTCAGAAGCAATATGTTTTTAAATATGAACAAATACTCCATAAATATTGTGCATTCCGTTATTCCAATATTAAATGAAAGTGAGGTTTCTAGTTCTATTGAAATTAATTAATTAACAATGGTTGCAACTAATGAACCTTGGAAAGATACCGCGCCTTGACTGAAGGAGTAACGCAATGCAAAAAACTTCGGATATTGGACACAGATGACGCCTCGCTTGCTTGCTCGGCTTTTATGGCCATCTTCTCCGTCGGCTGCTCATCCGCTGTTGCTCGGACATGGGGCATGGAAACAGCACCTACCGTGACGTCGCTCTCGACTCCCCTGCTATGATCTCCGTCTTGATGATTCTGACGACCGCTGAGACTTTGGCTCATGCGAGACTTTGCAGCACTGTAAAACCAATCATCACCGTTCTGGCTCCTATTTAATAGCATTCCTTCTCCCAACATAATTTCAGAAGCCCCTCAAAAGCCCAAGCCTTCTATCATCATCATCACCTAATAATAATGTTTGAACTAATCCAAATATATGTATGATAGCCGCGTCCTATATATTTTGGTGGCGTTGCATTCCATATATATCCCACAGAGAAAAAAAAACAAAATAAAAGCTGGAAGGCTAATTAAACTCTTTTCGTGAAAGAATCAAATTAGCCTAATTTCTGGTAGACGGATTTCAGCAGTAAACCCTAACAATGGCAATTCAGAAGCTTTTGAAGGTGTACAAGAATTGATACAATGCTATCTGTATCGATAGAGAGAGGAAATGATAGGGAAATGGAAAGCTTTGGTTCAAATCTGCAACTCTGTGGTTCCGTATTGATATTGATAGTACAAAAGGAAAACATGCAAACAAAATAATTTGGATGTCTACAGTAATCCAGGGCGCCCTTCACATTTTGACATTTGACGGTTCCGAAAATAGAATCAAATTAAATTGAACTGCAATCAAATAAAATTGAACTGCTAGAAATCTTACATTGAATATAAAAAACCAAACTCAATCATAGTTGTTAGATTCGATTTTGGTTTTTACTCTTCAAAACTGAATCAAATCAAATAAGCTGAACTAATTACGATCGGATCTGTGATAGCTGTTTGGATTTTGTCTTGCATGTTTGCTCTATATTAGTGAAAATCCGTTTTGATGATCAAAAAAGTTGTGAAGCATTAATCCTAGCTAATTAATCCTAATATTATTAATAGTCTTTGGTTTTCTTTTGTTAGAAAAATAATTTTTGTTTAATGTTTAGTTTATAAATGCATTTACACATTCATTGCATGTACTAATATAGTAATATTGATCTATTATGTCTTTTATGCATGTATGTTGTAATTTATTGCATGATGATGATAAGTTTTTACTCGTTATAACTAGTAATCAACTTTTATTTTTATGTAACTTAGAGTCCATTTGATAACACTGAAAAACGACTTATTCTGCTGAAATTTATGAAGTTCTGGCTGAAGTGGTTGTATTGGCTGATTCTGCTAATTTATGATTAAATTATATTTAAAATACATTTTATTAATAAAATAAACAAAAAATTATATGAAGACATTCATTCTCGAATTGACATTAAAAAGATTATAAAGACATTTCCATAAAAATGACATTATTTTGAAAACAATTTCCAATAGATGATATTTAAATGGGGAAAATAATTATAATTATGTCCTTTTCAAATTCAAAAATAATAATAAAAAATAAGCCAATAAATACCAAATTAAAAAAATGAGAGAAAAAAACAAAGATGGTGGCAGGGATGGATTTAGGGGGGGGGCGCGGGGGGGGCGACCGCCCCCCTTGGACATTCAAATTTTTTTACCATATATGTAATATTTTCATAAAACTTTCATAATTTAATTAGATTCGCCCCCCTTAGCTTTTAATTTTCAAAGTTAGTATATAGTCTTACATAATGTAATACTTAATTGGAGATTTGAAAGAATAAACATCTAAAATAATTTACATAACTTAAACAAATAAACAATAGAGTAACTCGTTATTTAAGATTTAGGATACTTATTATATAAGAATTCCTAGTTTTGTAATGTTTAATTATCTTTATTAGATAACAAGTGTAAAACATATATCAAACAATATTAAATACCAGACACACTAATTACACAATTTTTAGATCACATGAAATGAATCCAAAATATAAATATTTATAGACATTAGATTACATAATTCATTTACTTCTTGGTTTCTAAAAATAATTTATTGCATGGATAATAAACTTTAAATTATTATAGAATTAATAAAAATATTAAAATATATTATGCGCCATATATACGTGTGTGTGTATGTGGTGCACATTATTCTAAAAATAACAATCTCATACATACTAGTATACTACTATTGTAATATTAAGAAAACTTATCATGAGTCATGACTCACGAACACCCTCCTTGGTGGACAAAAATTACAATTCAACAACCGATTTATGAGGTTAAACAATGTAGAAGTTATTAAAAATGTATTGGTTGATGTCTTTGTCATCGTCTAAACTTAAAATGTAATAGATTTAAATGCCGTTCGGGATGTGCATGTATTAATGTCATTTTTTGAATAAAAATAGCCGCATAGTCCCACAGTAGCGAAAAAATTTCGCCCCGCCACACTAACAAAAAAAAAAATCACCCCCTACACTAACGAAAAATTTCGCCCCCCTTGACTCAGAATCCTGGATCCGTCCCTGGATGGTGGAAGAATGAGGAAAAGGAAGAAGTGTTTAGTGATATCAAAATGTGTTCATTCTCGATCATGTTGGTACCATGGGGCCAAAATTTGATTAAACAACGTATATTGCAAAAGAATGTCAAAATTTATTAGTAAATTAGTATGTTATTTAACAAAATTTATTTTCAAATATAAAAATAAAATCTTTTGCAACATAAATGTGAAAGACAAAAATAAATATAACAGGAATAAGAATTTTTGTCGAATGAATTGAACAAATTAATTTTTCAAACTAATATCCATAAACACAAGAGCGTTCACAATATTAGTATCTAGCTCATTCACCGTTTGAGATTGACGTTAAGCTTGTATTAATTAAACTTAGGAGATTATGTTTAAATATAAAGGAAGAATCTTTTTATTCTTCTAGTGTGAGATAGAGTTTTTAGAAGTAAAAGAAAAACTGGAATGTTTACAAACTACGTATGCTCTCGTGTTTACTTCCATCTTGCTATCTCGGAATTTATGCTCAAATTGACTTCCTTTCTGATTATATCATTATTATGTAACAACACTACATATAGTATAATACATATATATATGCTATTAAATTTATTTATTTTTAGGTTGGGCCTGGGCCCTACCTGGCCCAGAGCCAAATCTGCCCCTGGTTGGTACCATAATGTCTCGGATAAGGATGACAATGGGGGTGGGGACCCGTGGGGAACCGCCCCGTGTGGGAAGGATGGGACGGGGCTTGGGGTGGGGCGGGGGCGGGGATGGGTGAGATATTTCTACCCCGCTAAAATATGGGGCGGGGGATGGGGATTAGTACACCCGCCCCGTCCCCGTCCCCGTCCCGTACCCGTTATAAATATATACTCAATCATATATATATATATATATATATATATATATATATATATATATATATATATATATATACACACACACACACACACATATTAATAATGTATAAACATATTTATATAACAAACACATACACATAAGTATGTGTATTAGTCATGATTAACAAACACATACACATATATACATGCATACATGTATGTGTATTAGTCATGATTAATGAACTAATACTACGTAAGTATTATATTAGAATAATAAGTAATGAGTAAAAATACTTATCATAAATGATATATGAGTTTTAAAAGTGAGAAACTAAGTAAATAGAACACACACACACTGCACACACATATGTATAATATATAATTAACTGTAGTATAATTTGTCAGAAATTTGGAACGACATACATGATGGTAATATGTTTACTTATACTTTTAGTTTTATTATTTTCATAGAACTTATTCAAATTGAAGAATTATTAAAAATCGGCGGTATCATCTTTTATCGAACACAATATTATCTAGTTTAACTCTTTCAGTGCTATATATTTATTTATCTATAAAATGGATTAAAAAAAACACACAAATAAGACAATTAAAATATATATGGGGGCACCCGTGGGGGATAGCGGGGTGGGGCGGGGATGGGGCGGGTTTGGGGGGTGACGAGGGATGGACGAGGATGGAGGAAACTTTTTAGACATGGGGCGGGATGGGGGAGTGAACTCCCCGTCCCAAACCCGCCACGTTTCCATCCCTAGTCTCGGACCATGGGCCCATGGGGAAGAATAATGAGCATGACTTTAGGGATGACATACACTCCGTATGATATATCCCTTGTATTGTCTTCAAGATATACGTAGTATGCAATAAATTTCCACGCATCCATGTGATTGACTTGAAAAGTTGAAATCCTTATGTCTATAACTGCGAGAATATAATCAGGTCCGACTTTGTCTACCAGTCCAGACTTTTAATTTATTAGAAAAGCTTAAGCAGTTATTGCTTGATCATCGAATAGGAACAAAAAATAAATTGATCTCTGTTTTTTTTTAAATACGTATACTTTTTCCTTTTTTTGTAACATGGAGGCTTATATTGACAATAAAACATTCAGCAAGAGATATAAAAGATAAAGGAAACACTTCCAGCCACCGACCTTCGAACCAGCTGGAGAATCAATCACCCTAGGCAGAGCAATATGATTCGCTGATCTTGTATTGGGTCTATATGAGCTTAACGTGGCCAAAGCAAAACTCTCATCACCCCCACCTAATGTAAGAGTCCGACTCAAATAAAAATTGCAGAAGACAACAACGACAGTATTCATGCTTAAGAAACTCAAGAAGAGTAAAATGAAATCAAATAAAATAAACTGACAGATCAACTGAATCCATGCTTCAATCATCATCGGCGATGGCTCAAGAGGGAGACGGATCATCAAACCTTCATCTTGAAAAATTCCTTGCAAACCCACCACCGCAATTTCCAAAGGCATCTTCTTGACCCCTGCGATTATAGTACGTGTGAATCCGAAATCCCCACTTGATGGAATCTCCCCAATCGAACCCAGTAATACAAACGAGAAGGCCATAACCCGAGCAAAAACAGTGATTCTCTACAAAATTGCTTTCTTTTTATACGAAAGCTTTCTTTTTAAATGAAAGCTAGCCCCTGCAATTCTCGTGGTTCTCTACTTTGAAAGGAAGAAAACGAAACCGCAGCACCAAGTAAAAAACCAGGCCTCACCCTTCTTCTAGCCTTCAATTTCAGAAAACGAAGCAATCGAAGCAAAAACGATTCACACCAATCGAAGCCAGGTAATTCACCGATCGAATAAAAAATTATTCACACCGAGGCAGGTAAACTCCGGACAGGACAACCGCACCACTGCCGCCGGTAGAAACTAACTAGGTATAAAACATAGAGACGTCCACTTTTCCCTTTTAGAGGCTAATATGTTAATACTCCAATTACACAATTCCTATTAATTTTATTATTAATTAGGTATTATGTGATCTTTCAGGTTCCTTAATTAGGCATGGAGCCGGGCCGGGCCGGGTCAGGCCCGGACCAAGCCCGGTCGGGCCTTTTGTGTTTGGAGGAAGGACCGAGACCGGCACGGGTTGCCAGCGGGTCCAATTCGGGTCGGGCCTCGGACTGGGTTGTATTTTTTTTGCTTTCCTATCTACTCCCTGACCCCCCCCCCCCCCCCAAACATCAAGCCCAACCCGGGGAAGCCCAAAAAAACTGGAAAAAAAAAACGGTATTGGCCCGAACCAGGCGCGGGCCCGGCCGGGCCAGGTCCCCTTTTATGCAACCCGAGCCCGCCCCCAGTTAAGCCATAAAACCGGGTCAAGGACCGGTTTGGGACCCGAAGCACCGGGCCGGGCCGGGCCAGTCCCACATAGTACCGGGCCGGGTGGCCCGAACCGGGTCCATGCCTATTCTTAATTAATGATGCCTTACATTTTTTACATACACTATGAATTTTTTCTATGTAAATTTGATTTTATTAAGTACGACGTAATTTTTGATAGACATTAATCAAATCACTTCATAATCAAATAGTTCCCTACCTATAATCAATAGTAGAAGCCAATATTGCAACCTGTTTACAAAGCCCCATGTGAGTTATACCGGACAAGCTAGGCACGTTTGATCTTATAAAATGTTCAGATGTTAATCAACAGACTTGATAGAAATGGTCAAAACTTTTTGCGAAGACCATGGGCGGTCCAAGAGTAGTTGCTTAAAAAGAACTGCTTTTCAACTGGTAGAGACTATAGATTATGGCATGCAGTAGCATGAGAGATCATAACTTCAAAAGATGGAATAGATAGATGTAGATGTGTAGAACTTTACCCACTTTCATCATCACAAGCCAATTTTCCAACTAAAACTCCAATGCAATCAAGCACTTCATAATTTTTATGATAGACAATGCAAATGCTCAAGAGTTTTAACATTCCAAAGTCGGACTTGCTTGAATGCATGACTGAAGAAGAAAGATCTCAGTAGAGACTATTTGTTTATATCTTTCTGATTAGAATGAACAGCCTCTGATCAAGCTCAAATTTAGCAGCTATTGATGAGTCAGCACTCAGTTCCATCAGAAGCCCACCGAACGAAACTATTAGCCTCCTGTACCAAGGAACATAACGGAATATAACTGGCGTGAATTTCAGAGTCATAGATCATTAGGGAGTAGCGATCCTATCAAGCCGGCCTGGCAGGACTCACCATCCGGCAAGGCCTGTTTGGGGCCTACCCGGTGGTATTTTTTGATGAAATTTTTTGAGCATGTTCTTCGTCAAGTCTAGTTTATGCACACAAAATTTCAGCTAAAAATTCAATCGGGAAGACAATTAAATAAATTATCGAAACATACTGCGCATTATTTATATACATAAAGCGCAGTATGTTTCATTATTTTCTTTAACTGACTTCCTGGTTGAATTTTTAGCTGAAATTTTGAGGCGATCATCTAATGAAAAACATGCTCAAATAATTTCATAAAAAAAATCTGACGGGAAGCTTCCCAAATGGCCTCGGCCTGATGCCGGCTCTTGCCAGGCCAGCCTGATATGAATTGTACTTGACCACTAGGTATGTTAAATAACATAGACAGCAAAGCAAATATTTTTAAAAACTAAAAAACAAACTAAAAAATAGAGGGTATTGCGGTGGCATAGGATATTTAAAAGAATGAGGAAGGGAGTCGAAATAGCGCTGAATATGTTTACCAGCAACTTAGAATTCGAAATGGATAACTATTAGATATCAACTAACTATTTGAAATTGAATACGGAGTACTATTTACGATTCATGGTGCTGAGTTTTGAATTTTGATGGTTTTTTAGGCTTCTTGCGAATCCAAGGTGAATTGAAGAGTACAGCTCATATGTAAAATTTATATTCCATAATTCTTTAACTACGTGAAATAAAAACTTACAGTTTTTGAATATTATGACATAGTATCTTGCACTAATTACTGTAATTGGATGGATGATAAACTCCAGAATGCATAAAGCTATAAAATATTTAAGACAACTCGTCAACAAAACAGAGAGGATGAACAAAATGTCTAGTAGAAAAGAAAGTTGGGAAAGCTTCATTCGAGTAGGGAAGAAACCAGTTAAGTAGAAGCATAAAAAAGCAAACGAGTAGAAAAGAGGTTAGAGGTATTGGGTAGAGAACAAACATTGAAGTTCTACAGTTCAATTAAGTAAATACGGAGTAGCATCTTAAATCTTTAATGAAAAGCAGGTAAGATTGAAACAAACATGTAAAAATGAAGTGCCAATTTTTAATGCAAGGCAATTTTCTATAGCTTCCTCCAGGCGAGTCAAAAGATGTATATGTCAAATTGTCAATACCTTTTTCAAATTATTAACTCATGTGGCTTTTTCTGCAGGAGATGTCACCTCATAATTGGGTCAGGATTAGCATATCAAGGTTCAGCCAACACAAAGTCCTTTTGATGGATATATTGATAAATATTTCTAATTTGTTTTTGGACTTCCTGATAATAAAAATTATTTAGACATCACACGAGAGGCAAAACCTACAGTTCATCCCGCGAGTTTCCCTCAGGTATCCTGTATAGCTTTCCTTGCATAACATACTCATAGTCATCAGCAAGTGATTTCCTGTTTCCCTGAGATCATGACCACAGCAAATTTAGCCCCCTTCTCATTTGAAGAAATAACAGCACACCATAATCAAAACTTTCAAGGCTAATCAGCTAAATACTTGGTCATAAGCCAACATTGGCTTTTTATTTGTGTTAAGTTGACAGACGTAAAGAATGTATTTTATCTCTAACTGAAATACTATTATTATAACCTCACAGGCAAAAGGTAATGGCAATGCCACATATCTAAGAGCATATCAGAACACATGCACAAATTTCATGCATAAAAGGATTGCACAAACAAATAAGAAAGCATTAGTTTATTGCCTCCCAACAGAATTTGAGTAAAATTATGGGAAAAAATTTAATTGTAACAAATTTGAAATACTAAACACCGAAAGCTTGTGAGTATACAAGCTAATTTTAGTGAAAGTACATGATACAAAGAATAGAAGTCCCCTCTTGAGTAAACAAATACGGTGTACTAGTAAAACGATGCTATCGTTTTAGTTTTAGTTTTACATATTTTAATTTAATATTTTTTTTCATTTCACAAAACACTGTTGTTTAAATTTTTTGTCGACACCAGCTCCAACATTTCATTTTCAGACTTCAGCGGCAGCATTTCAGCTGAAACAGAGCGCAAGAATATAGGTTTCCAGGGATGTGATGCCGTTGCGGTTGGTGGTGGCCGGTTGCCGCCAGTCAACAGGGACGGATCCAGGATTCTGAGTCAAGGGGGGCGAAATTTTTCGTTAGTGTAGGGGGTGATTTTTTTTTTTGTTAGTGTGGCGGGGCGAAATTTTTTCGCTACTGTGGGACTATGCGGCTATTTTTATTCAAAAAATGACATTAATACATGCACATCCCGAACGGCATTTAAATCTATTACATTTTAAGTTTAGACGATGACAAAGACATCAACCAATACATTTTTAATAACTTCTACATTGTTTAACCTCATAAATCGGTTGTTGAATTGTAATTTTTGTCCACCAAGGAGGGTGTTCGTGAGTCATGACTCATGATAAGTTTTCTTAATATTACAATAGTAGTATACTAGTATGTATGAGATTGTTATTTTTAGAATAATGTGCACCACATACACACACACGTATATATGGCGCATAATATATTTTAATATTTTTATTAATTCTATAATAATTTAAAGTTTATTATCCATGCAATAAATTATTTTTAGAAACCAAGAAGTAAATGAATTATGTAATCTAATGTCTATAAATATTTATATTTTGGATTCATTTCATGTGATCTAAAAATTGTGTAATTAGTGTGTCTGGTATTTAATATTGTTTGATATATGTTTTACACTTGTTATCTAATAAAGATAATTAAACATTACAAAACTAGGAATTCTTATATAATAAGTATCCTAAATCTTAAATAACGAGTTACTCTATTGTTTATTTGTTTAAGTTATGTAAATTATTTTAGATGTTTATTCTTTCAAATCTCCAATTAAGTATTACATTATGTAAGACTATATACTAACTTTGAAAATTAAAAGCTAAGGGGGGCGAATCTAATTAAATTATGAAAGTTTTATGAAAATATTACATATATGGTAAAAAAATTTGAATGTCCAAGGGGGGCGGTCGCCCCCCCGCGCCCCCCCCCTAAATCCATCCCTGCCGCCAGATGCGGTGCGTTGCGGACTGATGCAGCTTCGCTGCAGTTTCGTTGCGGTTTTGTCGCGGCTGCATTGCAGATTATCCCCGTGATTTGAAAACACGCCAGTATAGCGCCCGTGACGGCAATATTGCAGCCACATCAGGCATTGCGGACCACTATTTAGAAACGTGCATATATGCGTTTGAGCATAAACAGTTTAGATAAAGTAAATAAACAAAAAACAGTAATTAGATATCACATGCCACATTTTCTCACAAGCTTGATGTCACTCAAAACCTCCACCAGAGTCATCATGACACTGGCGGATCCTCAAACAATGTGATAACACTACCCCTCATCAAACACAGTCACAACGTTATCAGCAAGCCCAAATATCCAAACAGTGGTACAAGTTGCAAAATCAAAAGCAACCAAATAAAAATAAATATAAAATACCTGAAGATAGTAACCCGAATCTGGAGTCCCATCCAAATTTATAGTGGAGACCAGAACAATCTTAAGTTTATCCTTAACGTCAATGTGACATATCTGTGAATTCACGTCTAATACCATAGTCTTTTCAAACTGGTTGCCCTTTGCCACGATGCGATCAACTAGGAATTCATACAATCATTTATGTAAACATCAGAAATTCACAATTAATTACAGAAAGTACAATCTGTGTGAACTGAATCAGCCAGAGACAACCAACACAGTGAATTAAAACTCAATGGTTCAAAGCTAGAGACAGCCAACATAGTGAATTAAAACTAAATGGTTCATGCTGTTTTCCAGAACAGCAGAACAGCAGGTTCACCTATTGATTGACCATCTAACCATATTGTTCACTATGCAAAACTCATTGGTATACGCATTTAAGGCGAACTAGCCAATTCTTATTAAATACTTTTATAGTATATGTGCTCTACCAACACACTTCCTTCAACGAAATTTTAGATATCTAGTTTTCATATCATTCAAAAAAATATCTCATGCAATATAGGGGATGAACATATCGCATTGCCATATAAGAATTATGTATTTGTGTAACTGAGACGCTGAGTACCATTATTGAATATTTTCCCCTCTGGATTTATTTCAGTTACTGTGAAAATATCTTCAAACAGCGTCGCAACCATCTTGAACCTGTATTTATACATTGTTTAGAATAGGTAAACAAAGAATATAATATATGACAGGAAGACACCGTTAGATTACAGAAGACAAATCTGAAACCCAGGCAGGGCCGGTCCTGAGTGTTTAAGACACCATTAGAAAAAATCTTTTTTTTATCTAAAGTAAGATGTAAAGTAATAATATTTCAAAAAAAAGTATAATCATATTAATCAATTGTTAAACTAATCAAATAATCATATTAATCTATAAAAGAAAAAGTCTAAAACTCGAAAACAGACAAACAGTTAAGGCCTTAGGGAATAAGGAATTAAGGATTAAGTAAGGAGGTCGCCAGGTCAGAGGACTAGAGGAGTACCTGAAGGCTAAACTGCAGAAGTGCAGAAGCTGTGATTCCAGTCAGGGGCGGATCCAGAAACTTACAATGGGGCGGGGCTAAGAAATAAAATTTGAAAACACGTACATAATAATACGTCAAATCGTCAACACTTCAAATATTCATCAAAATATCATTTAAGTTGTGCCCTACGTATTATTTACAAAATCTCGTTCAATGTAGTTCATGAATGAATCTTCAAGAAAATCATCTCCCATTTTGTTGGGAAGTGCCGTCTTCACCATCGTAGGTATAGGTTCACAACTCTCTTCACCACTTTGACGATTCACTTTTGAAAAACATGACAAAATTAACTTCTTCTCTTTCTTGGCAATATATTCATTATTCATTCTAAAAAAACATTTTCAATACTGGTATGAATTAAAATATTTCTATAAAATTATGAAACTAATAAGGAAAAAAACAATAGTTGTACATAAACTTAATAAGTGTTCCCAATTTCAAAACTCAATTCAAATTTACAATTTTTTCCTACATAACCACACAATAAAATGATAAATACGTAGTAACTCATTCTCTAATCTTCAACTGTATAATAAATAAATCATTCTATAATCTTTAATTTTATCTTTAATCATTATAAATTTATAATGAATTAAAAACTATTTTATTATGCACTGAAAAATTCAATTAATAATCAAATTGATTCCCTAACCCTAAAGATTATAATACACAATAACACAAAGTCAAAAAATAATAGCTTAAAAATCTAAAAAAGTATTAGAGTTAGAGCATACCTGGAGGCTGGAGCAGCGGAGCTGGAGACAGAGCCCAGGCGGCCAGGCAGAACCGGGTTCGGAAGGCGGAGAGCGGAGAGCGGAGAGCCGGAGTGGACGGGGACAGCGGCGCAGCAGGTGGTCTGCGGTTCTCCTATTCCCGTTTGTCGCGTCTTCGTCGCAGGGTCCAGGTTCGTGAGTTCGTCTTCGTTCTTCCCAATCTTCCGCTTCTTCGTTATTCGTTCTTCGCACAAGAGCGTTCCGCACTTCAGCGTTCGGATAAGAGAGAGGCGCTAGAGAAGTTCAATTTTGAATTGGGCTGGGAATAAATTTTGAGGCGGGCCGGGAATTAATTTAGGAACGGGCTAATAATTAAACCTATACTTATCTTACCTCCCTCCCCCTAAGTTTGGGACAAAGAAGTGTGGTGTGATTCTTAAGAAAAAGAAAAATTGTATGATTGATATTGAATTAAAAAAGTGCGAATAAAATAAAAATGAATTCTAACCACTTAAATATTACCAAATATGGTATGGAACAAATTTAATGAAACAGACGAAAAAAGTAAAACGGAACAAAGTTAGGGGGCGGAGGGAGTACTACTTAAAATAAAGTGGGTTGGGCTGAAGACCACTCATGTACTCACAGTTAGGGGTGGGCAAAAATACCGAAAAATTGGTATACCACACTTATCGTATCGAAAAATACCGGAAAATACCGAAACATTGGTATACCGTCATTTTCGGTACGGTATCATACCGTACCGATTTATTTCGGTACGGTAACGGTAAATGTTTTCAAATACCGCGGTATACCGTTTTAATACCGTACCGACTCTTAACCCAACAATTACTTTAAAATCTGAAATATTGTAAATGTCCGTTAAAATTTTGAAGTCCAGAATTAATACTTAGATTGATTACAAATACTAAAATATACAAAAAAGACCCAATTGATCAAATCCACTATAACTTTCTAGGCTTCTACTACGTAACATTCAAACAAACTAACCCTAATGACTAATGAGTAATATACTAATGTCCAGAAACCAGTCTATCTTGTTACATCAGCTTGTGAGTTGTGATGGCTGAGCCGCTGATGTGTAGCTGACGAGTGAAGAGAGATACATTTCTGTGACGAGTGTAAATGATTTTGTATCCATGTTGTTTGAATAATTTAATTTATTTTTTTGAAAGATCACTATTCATGATTTTAAAAATGACTAAATACACAATATCATATTAGGGATAAATGATTTTGTATTCATGATTTTGTATCATATTAGGGATAAATGATTTTGTATCCATGTTGTTTGAATAATTTAATTTATTTTTTTAACTGGAAGAATTACTTCAAATAAACCGGCATATCTTAGGGATATGAATGTGGCAGCTCTACGGGATAGCACAGGAAGAAAGTGGAATTTTGAGAGAATAAACAGGTTATTTAATCCGAGCGGCAGAGAGAAAATCCTGAGTATTCATGTCGGTCTGCAGGACCGAACAGATGGTTTTTGGTGGATAGGGGAAAAATGGTATTTTTTCAGTTAAAAGTTGTTATAAAATTTTGATGGGTGATTTACAACAAGATGCATGGCAAGGGTGGAAGAAACTTTGGGATTTGGATATCCCAACCAAATTTAAATATTTTGCATGGCAAGTGTTGGATGGAACGTTATCTACGGTGGATAATTTGAGGAAAAGAGGAGTCAACATTGTTGGAGGGTGCAAACTCTGCAATTCAGGGGACGAGGACGACGATCATGCCACGCGTACGTGCCCCACGGTGGAGCAGATTTGGCAACATGCAGGGGTTTGAACCAATAGCCAAATGGTTTCGTTCGGCCAGTGGGTGAGAGCTAATATAGAGCAGCCGAGGAGAGAGTTCTCTGGCCGTTTTATAGCCATATTATGGAGTATCTGGAAAAATAGAAACAGAGCGGTTTGGAAGGGTCAGAAAGTGGAAGCCACTACGGTGATACGTGTGGCGGAAAGTATGCTTGGGTCTTGACGGGATGCCCAGTTTAGCCCGGCAGACAGGGGGGTGGTCTCGGCAGGGGAGGGGGCTGTCAAATGGAATCGACCTATGCCGGGAGTGATAAAAATAAATGTTGATGGGGCGGTGAATCAAACGGGGGGTATTCGAGCCTGGGGCTGGGTGGCCAGGAACGAGGAAGGATCCGTTGTTAAGGCCCGAGGGGTAGGATGCAAGGCTGGGTGGACAGCAGAAGAGACAGAGGCGATGGGAATCCGAGATGCTATAATGGGAGCTATTGAGGCAGAATGGACACGCGTGGAATTAGAGACGGATGCACTTACAGTGGTCCAGAGCTTAAAGAAACTGGAAGGATCAGGCTATACTCATCTTATATTGGATGACATTCGGAGTTTGTTAGCAACAAAGAGTTATTTTAAAATCTCTTTCTGTAGAAGATCTGCGAATCGTGTGGCTCACGCTTTAGCTAAGTCACATGCTCACAGCTCAGATCAAGTGGTTGATTATGATTATGCGCCTTCTTGTATTTTTAGCCATCTGGCTAATGACTTATTGATTTAATACAATTTTTTCGTTTTGACAATAAAAAAAATAGATCACTATTCATTTAATTATATCTATATTATTCAAGTTATTTTTAGGAGAATGTGTTATTTTTAATACGTGACATGTTGAACTGCTTAAATATATTAATAATAATTATTGTCCAATATTGAATATGACATCAATAGATTATTAATTTTATTTTGTTACATTTAAATTTTGTATACCAAAAGTTTTAGTACGGCAAAGGTATGAGAGAAAATATTCGGTATACGTACCGTACCGAACCACCCCTACTCACAGTCATCCGCCCTTGATTCCGGTGAAGGCGTGAAGCCTGGAGCAGTTAGCACATCACACAAGAAGGCTGAGGAAATGAGGAGGGGCAGGGGCGCGGGGCGGCCAAGTGTTGGCCGTAAGCGGTAGAGGCGTAGAGCAGTACGTGGCCTCGCGAGTTGGCGCTTGCTGTTCGTCGATCGGAATGGGTGCTGCCTGGAGTGCCTGCTCCTTTTCGGCTCAAGTCTCCTATCTCCGTGGACTGTTTCCCAACTTCCTTGGCTCGTAACACCCACCTTTTGCTAATCTTGGGCCGTTGGACGATTGGGCTGGACAAAAATATTACACCTTCCATCCCATTTTGATTGTTTTATTTTTCTTTTTATATTGTTCCAAAATAAGTGTCACGTTTTTTAAAATAAATACGCAGTCTACATCATTTCACATTAATATTCAAATTTTAATTATAACTTTTACTTTTTCATCCATTTTATTAATAATTATGCTAAACCAAAGTAAGACACACAAAGTGGGACGGAAGTAGTAGTTCAGATTTGAAAAATGAGATTACTCACACCTATTATAAAGAAAAAATCAGTTTTTTCTTGGTCGATTGACACATTTCATTTTGTTGAGTTTAGTCCAACACGAAATAGTGATAATTGTATCAATTGTAGAAATAAATGTATGAACAAGCTATTTTGACGTGGAAACCCGAAAGGGAGAAAACCACGTGACTTTTTGGGCTAATGTCCAAGCCACTCTTATTCTCATTAAAAATCTCCTCATCATTTACATAGTACAAGTATGAAGCTTCCAATGATGGAGGTTGCAAGCTAATCTAGAGAGAAGGTGGAGAAGAAGTGGAGAGAGATCAGACAGGGATCCCTCAAATGGAGGGAAATCCGTCTATAAATACCAAATAGGGGAGGGGGTACAAGATTGCCCTAATGGGCCTAAATGGGCCCGAGGGGCTGGAATGAGCCGAAGGGGGCGGAATGGGCCTAACTGATCAGAGTCCATACCGAGGTAACGCCTTCGGCTCTTGAACAGTAGTAGATTAGGAGGCTTGGTAGTGGAATGAAGAAGATGTTTGGTCTTTGACGGCCGAAGGTTGTGCAGGAATGGAAGACGGATGCTTGGAGGCTTGGTAGATTCGAGGTTGGAACATATCTAGATTCGAGGTCATCCGTGTTAGGTGGCGACAGAGGAAGCTTGGTAGAGAACATGATGAATAAGAGACAATGTGAGGAAGAAGCTACAGTACTGCTGGGTCGTCCCCCTCTTGAACCCCCGCCATGGAGTGAAGAGAGTCTAGGGTTTGGAAGTAACTTTTTAAATTTTACTGTTTGGTTGCATTATGATTGGGTGATTGGAGACATGCTTTAACTGTTATTGGCTCATTTATGCACATTATAAGATCAACGAGTTATATTGCTTTTCTAGATTTTATTCCTTCACTGAGGTTTCATTTGTCTATATCGGCTTCATTCGTTTCCTACCAAAAAAGCGATATGACTCGTTCGGGAGTGTAGTTAGAAGATGGAAGAACAACAATGCGTAGGAATGCCGAGGAGTGATACGTTTGTGAGCTGGGTTTTTTAAATAATGGATTTGGACAATCCAAGTGGTGCTTGTGAGATTGATGGTGAATTGAGTTATTCATTTTTTGGCCTAAAAGTTCTATCAGAGTCTTCCAAAGTCCATTAAAATAAATAATAAGTAAAATTAGTGAAATGTTTGAGGATACCGGGATTTTAATAGATTCCATAGAAATCTAAATTGAGAATTGCAAAAAAAAATAGAAATCTAAATTGAGGATACCTTTGGATGAAATTCTAAACTCTAAAATACACATCGAGGACACCTCTTAAGTGATACTAAAGAGGATTTGGATGCAATAATGTTTTTAGATTATTATGAGATTAATACATGTGAATGCAGTGAATAACTCTTTGGATGAAGATTAACATATCCTAACATTGGTGTAGTTAGTAATTTAATAAAATATAGTAGCAAAGTAATACGAAAATACATAAGGAATTATAAGAAATGCCCCTCAAAAACTTGTAACAGGACTCAAACGTTATAAGTCATCACATCCAGAGGCAAAAACTTACCCTCCTTATCTTCAAAGGGCCATCCAATTTCACCATAAGTACAACATGAGGCTCGCAACTTCTGTCGGGGTCATAGAGGGGTAGGCATGGACCGGTTCCGGGTCGGTCCTTGGCGGGCTTTTTTGTGTGGCTACAGGCCAGGAACCGGCCCGGGATTCCACCGGGTCCAAGCCGGGCCGGGCCGGTCTCGGGCCGACTCATAATTTTGTTTTTTGCTTTTCTAATGAACCCCCCAAAACACCCAGCCCAACCGGCCTACCACAAAAAGAAAAGGAAAAAAAAGGCCCGAACCGGGTCCATCCCGGCCGGCCGGTTCCAAAGGAAGGTTAGACCGCAACCACCTTGCACTAACACCCTGGGTCGGTCCTAGGCCCAGAACCGGTCCCGGTTCCCGGGCCAGTCAGACTGGAACCGAGCCACCCTTATAGAGGGGTTGCAAAGATACCATTATGTCAATTAGGTCAAGTAAGCATAGACACAATTCTTGTCCGGTCCCGATTCTGGTCCGACCAGACCCCCGGGTGGCCGATTCCAGTCCCGTACTTGTCAATTCCGGTGTCAAGGTAAGGAAGAGTGGAAGACCAAGTCCAAATTGAATAAAACCGGTTGTCCAGTTCTGGACGGGTTCCGGTCCCCCAAGCGGTCCGGTCCCGGACCGGTTCTATTTATGACGCAGTATTTCATTTTGAAGGCAAAAAAGTGGCCGATCCAGGACTGGAACTGCTTAGTCCGGTACTCCGGTCCCCCAAAACGAGAACCAAGATCGGGACCGCCCTATACCCAGTTCGGTCCGGTCCGACACAGTACCATACCCAGTTCTGATCCGAGACCGCCAAGCGGATCAACCCCCACGGTCAGGTAACAACAGTTTCTTGGCCCTGCCTGCTTCCCCAACCCCTACATCCCTGCCCAGTATGTGCAGGTTTACAAAAATTTAACCTTTGATTATTTTGTTGGGTCAAATAACCGACTAAAAAAAGGCCAGATAAGGTTAGGTCGGCCGGGTTGTGTGGGTTGGGGCTGTTTTGTGCAGCCCTACGCCCCTACGACCAAACCCATCACAGATTCACAGACAGTATCATACAAAAGGGGAGGGTGATAAATTGAGTAATGACTGCAAATGCCCATAAAAAAGATCACTGCCAAATTTATTACATGTTGGAACTGAGAACACAACAGACCGAACATATACACGTTAAAAAGGGGATTCAGATCAGGACAATGAGCCTCAAACATTGGGATTATTCTATTTCTGAAAAAGTTATAAGGGGCAGGATTAGCCCTTCGTTAACAGAAAGAGAACACAATACACCGAACATATACAATAATATTTGCTACAAGCCTAAAATAAAATGCAACTCAGATCTGAAAATCAAACAGACATTAATCAATGTATACATGTTAGCTTATCTGAATTTCCCAATAGGAAGAAAAGTTCTTTTACTTGATGTACTTTCCAAATGCTGAGTACTATTGGCATTATTCTCCCCTGTTGTTTCAGCTACTTTACGAGGCTCAATTCGGCCACTTGGTTTAGGCTTAGCACCTTTTGAATGATCCTCCTCCCCTACAGATCCACACTGCACTAAAAACCTATGTATTGTTTCATAACTGGTAAATGTAATAACCGCAGATGGCGTCGTCCTCAAAAGATTTGTTGCACAGCCGCGGTAGAATCCAGTGAGCCCTTCTTTTCTCAAGATCCACTGGATGCAATCGACAACTCCACCGTACTGCCTTGCTGAGTTTCTCGCTTGTCCTTGCTCTTGGAGCCTAGAACGCACAACCTATCAAATATTAAAGTAGAAGGCAAAGTGCCAACAATTTGTCAGCGTATCGTAGTTATATTATCACCTATAGGACTTGAAAGGCGACAAAAATACTTGTTATTTTTTCATGAAGCATGCACAGGGAATCTGAAAGGCCATAGTACAAACTAGACAACTACTAAGAGTGCCAAACCTAATTTTATAATCATTGAATGGTGAATTTCAAAAGCTCAACGATTAAGGGCTCGTTCGATACCCGTCAGTTTTTAATATTACTTCGTATGATTTTAAAAGGTATATGATATGTATGTTTATAACTATATGTCTATAACTAACTCAAAAGTAACTGTAGGTATAGTACTATGTTAATTTTGAAAACTGAAAACAGCTTCTTCTGTTTTTCACAGATTTGTTGTGTTAAAAAAACAGAAAATGGTACCTACTGAGGCGTAAGAAAAGGACAAATGTTGGTGGAACCCAAACCTTTTACGGAGTATTTGCTATATTAGAATGTTTTTAATTGGATTGTTTTCACTCCCATGCAAGACCATACCAGACTTGGATAATCATAAAATACACAGAGACCAAACAATTACAAGACCAGATCAAACCAGAAAACTCCAGTGCAATTAAAAATATCCTTAGTAGTGATAAAGTCTGTTATTCTAGACTTAAGAGGCACTGACAAGAGTGACAGGCACGCTTACCTCATGCGGATAAGTCATTACAGAGGCAACTATTTTGGCCAACGAAGAGGCAACTGCAACTTCTCCAGGTCCTAGATCACTGGTACACTTGTCATCTGGAAAATTTGCAGTCAACACAACTAATCTGAAAAAAAAAGCCAAGAAAAGCATTTTCTCACACAACAAAATAAAGGTTAGAAAATTTCTTACCCCTTTTCGCAAAATAAAGTTTGATCTGCTCATATGCAGGAAATTGGATAGCAACATGACTTATCCCAGCCAAAGAAGGCAAGATGCCACTGTACATGCCACAAACAAACATTAAGATACAAGTGCAAACAGAGAGCTAAATTTGAAGGAGCACTAAAATCTAGCTTTATAAAAAAACAGTCATGGACTCATTAGGGCATTAAGAAAAAGAACTTCATTGGCATGCATCTTACTATCTTAGACGGTTTTAATTGGAGTGTTATCAACAAAACATATAGACTGGATTGTGAATGAATACAATAAAAACACGCATCTATTCATTAACTCTGGTTAGAGCAGATGTGCTAACCTGTACAATCCTCTGACTCCCTCTTCATGCAAGATTCTTTTTAAAGCAGATGCTACACTTTTATAAGGAACAACCCCCTCTCTCATCCCCTGTGTCTAAACAAAATAAGAATGGCACCTCTAAGTGAGAAATGTATGCATGTGTGGAGACTCAAGAAAATGAGAAACTGCCATTAACCAGAAACATTATTTCAAATATGAAAAAGATGCATAATGAATGGTAGATGCTTAAGATAAAGACGTGGAGATTTTAGAGAATTTTTAGAATAACAATATAATAGTTGCTGAAAGTTGTGTTTTGGGTTGTTCTCTAGGAAGTGATAAAAACTGACTTTTTTCAAAATTAGTCCCTTGAATGATGCCTACCACAACCATCCTTTAGAAAAAGACGCGAACAATCGAAATAACAAGCGAGTAGTGTTTGCACATGGCATCAAGAAAGTGGACATTATGTTAAAAATTTAAAATGGACTAAAATGAAACTACTAGTCTACTAGGTAGAATAAATATAATGAGAAGAAGATAGGAGAAAGAAAAGTCTGCCCCACACTCCGACCACTTGCATTAGAATAAAGTGTTTTTGTTCACCAAGAGTACACCAAGTACACCTCTGTGCTTTAGTACAGGGGTAAGACTGCGTGCATCCGACCCCCCTTACCCCACCGTAGGTGGGAGCGTTTGCGGCACTGGGGTAATGATGATAATAAATGATGATGATGATGATGATGATGAGGTGTACACCAAGTACACCAATACCTTGTTCACAGACATGCTACATTGTTCACAGGCATGAGAACGAGCACTGTAGCGTGTTTGTGAGACAAAAAAATGTTGGTGTACCCATGGTGTACATTAAGGTAAAAAAATAATCAGTACGCTGCTTAATATTAGTCACCATACAGAAGCTAATGAATTGAAACTGTACAACCTACTTGTAGCCGTGTTTTAACAACCCACAATGGATTTGTTGCAATAGATGTTGCAGCTCCAGCCCCTGAAGCAGCTATCATATTTGCACCAATAGAGAGCTGAGGGCTACTGTCTGCTGCAAATTTCACAAATGAAGTGTGATTAAATAAAGCATTTTAATGGAAAATAGAAGTAGCAAGAGTTCATCAGCATTCATACGCCTCCAAGAAGTTGACACAAAATCAAACAAATTGAGTTAGAAGTTGGAACGATTAAAGAGAGCAAATATGTTGCATAGCATTTACCGTGCGATTGCAGCAATTCTTTAAGGTGCCCATAAACTGTGAAGTACACCTACAATATACAAGTAATATTTATTCACTAGAAGAAAAAAAGAGTATAGCATTCACAGTAAGATGAAAAAAACTAGCAGGCATAAATTTGTGTAATACATGCATGTGTTGGTGTATACAGCTACATAAAAATGCACGATCTAACCAAGTACTCCATATATACTCCCACAGTATTCTATTCTTTGCTACAATAGGGGTTGACACAATATTTAAGGGGAAAATAGTAGGGGTAATGCATAGTGTAGAACAGCAGGAGAGACTAGAGAGGGTGGAAAAGTATGAAAGAGAATATAAAAAGTAGACAAAGTAAGGGTGATTGAGTTCTTTTAAAAGGAAAACTTACCAAAACGAGAAAATGTAGCAAACAAAAAAATACTTCCCAAAAAGGAAAGTGTAGCAAACAAAAGAATACGAAGGGTACATAACAGCTCCATTGCAGAACTTAACCCCAGTATTTATTTATATGAACAGAAAAAAGTGTATTACCTTTTTGAAAAGTGTATCAGTGAGAGTCGCACTATTCAACAAGGCATCAAACCCCAGTTCCTAAAGTATTTTCAAAAAACACAAAACCCTGGACCTCTTTTTACATTGCAATCAATAGCAAAAGTCGCTTTCTTTACATTGCAGCCAATACCCCCTCGTTTGTTGCAACAAATCTTCAAACACTGTTCACAAAACAAATGCTAGCGATTTGTCCTGAGTCATGTCGCCAAAAATCCAACAGTCATACACCTCTGCATACACAACTTTTTTTCCCTGCTGAGTCGTGTCCATGCATTGGCACGTGAGGCTGCTTCTGATCTTCTCCACAAAATTCTCTACTTTTGCTCTCAACCTTCTGGTAACTCTATGCTGTAAGTTTCATGATTTTTTGGAAAATTGATTTTCCCAAGTTTATTGTCTACTATTTAGAGAGGAAAGAAGGAACCAAAAAGAAAAGAAAAGAATACACCAAATTCAAGTTTTTAAGTCAAGTATTTAAGTGCAATAAAGTGAACTTCAAGTTAAGGATATTTGTGTGTGGGCAACAGAAGTTCATGTTGAAGATGTTTTTGTAGGCACCAACAGTCAAATAAAGTTGATGCTTAATATATTTGTGGCGGCAGCAAAAGTCAAGTAAGCTTAAAGTAGAGGATGCTTATGTGACTGTGTGAGGCAGACAGTTGCTTTTTTTTGTGAGACAGTGATACATTAACGGGGGGTAAATTTGACAAAGTGTATATCAGGAAGAAGAAAAGAAATATGGGAGGACCGGTTATTGGGGATCACACCTCTAATAACTAAATCCTGGCCACCTGGGAACGTGCAAGGACGTGGGTACGTGCAGTGAGAGTCGGCGCAGAGGGGATTATAGCGGGCAGGGCATTTGGGAGTTGGCAGACTGGAAATTGGCTTGTCCTTAGGAGAGTGGGGACTCTGTAAAAACCTTTTATCCTTCATCCATGTTTTTCTCAGTTTCTTATTTGTAATTACGTTGATCCATTCTGATTCAGACTGTTTTCCTTTCAATATTATCAATACGAAGCAAGACCCTATCAATTTGGTATCAGAGAGTGTGATCCTGCGAGTGGATGGTAGCGACCAGGGGCGGGATGGAGCACCGCATGGACAACATGGAACTACGTGTGGGAAACTTAGAAGGATCAGTGAAGCAGATCCTTGAGAGCATGGAATCTTTTCACGCAGAGTTCCGAGACTTCGCGAAGAGGAAGGGTAGTGCGAGGGAGGACGAAGGGGAGTTTTCACCGGGCGGAAGTGGAATAACTTCACCGCAGGGGAAATCCGGAGGGTACGAACATCAAGGGCGGACACGAGGTCGCAAGCTAGAGATTCCCGTGTTTAATGGAGACGATGTGCATGGTTGGCTAGTCCGGGTCGAGAGATATTTCCGGGTCAACGAGCTGCAGGAGGAGGAAAAACTCGACGCAGTGGTGATTGCTATGGAGGAAAGGGCCCTTAATTGGTTCCAATGGTGGGAAGAGCAGACGGTGGAGAGAACGTGGCCGGAATTCAAAGTCGCGGTGCTGCGGCGGTTTAACCCGGGTGCATTTATTGATCCGATGGGCCCATTATTGAGGTTGAAGCAGGAAGGGACTGTTGCGGACTATAGGGATCATTTTGAACTCCTTGTAGCTCCATTGAAGAAGGAGGAACGCACCTTACTTCCCAGCATCTTCAGAAATGGCCTCAAGGAGGAAGTTAGAGCGGAGTTGCAGCTGTTTAAGATCACTGACTTGGCAGATTTAATGGATCAAGCTTTGGTTGTTGAAGAGACGCACCAAGCTCTGTTTGGGAAGGGTATTGGCGCAAAGGAAAGGATGGAGACCAAGGACAGGACCTATACTCCTAAGTTTCGCAGCCTGTGGGATAACAACAAAGACAAAAAGGAAGCTGACCGGAAGGATGGTTATACTGGGGGAAAAGGAGGAGAAGGTTGGAAAGGGAAGTCACTAAGCCAAGCTGAACTAGAAGAAAGAAGTAAGAAAGGGTTGTGTTTTAAATGTGGAGATAGATGGGGTAAAGGGCATATCTGCAAAATGAAGCACCTGCGGCTGATGTTGTGTGAAGGAGGAAGTAGTGACGAAGAGGAATTTGAAGAATGCGAGGTTGTAGAAGAGTTTAAAACTCTACATCTATCTTTGCAAAGCAGAGCAGGGATTGCGACCCACAAGTCCTTCAAGGTATGGGTGATGATTGGAGGCAGGCGAATACTGACCTTGATTGATTCGGGTGCAACTAGTTGTTTTGTGTCCCCAGAGATTGCTGAGATTTTGAAACTGAAAATCACTGAGACGCCAATTTTTGTCGTGGAGGTGGGAACCGGGGAACAAATCAGAAACACCGGGGTATGTAACAATGTCTGTTTCACAATCCAAGGGATAGAGTTCCATCCGGACTTTTATCTGATGGATCTGGGGGGGACAGAATTGGTATTGGGATTGGATTGGCTGGCTGGTTTGGGCAACATAGAGGCAAATTTCAGAAACTTGAGCCTGAAATGGACCAGGAATGGGCAGAAGTACACCATCCATGGTGATCCATCTCTCTGCACAGGGCAAGCCTCCTGGAAGGCCTTGTGGAAGGCATTGCAAGACAAGGGTGTGGGCTTCATAGTGCAGCAGGAGGAAGGGGGTGATACTATCAGTACTGATCCTCTTTTTTCTGAATTGCTGAAGGAATTTCAGGATGTATTTGACATGCCTGCCGGGCTCCCACCACATCGAGAACATGATCATGCCATTATCTTGAAACCGGGTGCTGAGATACCCCATATCAGGCCTTATAGATACCCCTTTTACCAAAAGAATGAGATTGAGAAGCTGGTACGGGAGATGTTGCAGTCCGGCATTGTGAGGCACAGCACTAGCCCTTTTTCCAGTCCAGTTTTGTTGGTAAAGAAGAAGGATGGCGGATGGAGGTTTTGTACCGACTATCGGGCACTCAATAAGGTAACGGTACCCAATAAGTTTCCCATACCTATCATTGACGAATTATTAGATGAACTCGGAACTGCGGTGGTGTTCTCTAAACTGGATTTGAAATCGGGTTATCACCAAATTCGAATGAGAGAGGAAGATGTTCACAAAACAGCCTTCCGGACCCACGAGGGCCATTATGAGTATTTGGTCATGCCATTCGGCTTGACCAATGCACCCTCAACCTTTCAAGCATTGATGAACCAAGTGTTGAGGCCATTTTTGAGGAAGTTTACCTTGGTATTCTTTGATGACATCCTAGTGTACAGTGGGAGTATGGAGGAGCATGTCCAACATTTGAGAAGAGTTCTAGAGTTGCTGAGAACTAATCAGTTATATGCCAATAAGAAGAAATGTAGTTTTGGACAGTCTCAAATTGAATATTTGGGTCACCTAATCTCCAGGGCAGGGGTGGCAGCGGATCCCCGAAAAATTGAAGATATGCTCAAGTGGCCTACTCCGAGAGACTTAAAAGGATTGAGGGGATTCTTGGGTATCACAGGATACTACAGGAAATTCGTCAAGAACTATGGTAAGATCGCATGGCCTTTGACTCAGTTGTTAAAGAAAGATAGTTTCTTATGGAATGAGGAAGCACAACAGGCCTTTGAATTGTTGAAAACCAGGATGACTACACTGCCTGTATTGGCTATACCTGATTTCAACAAGGACTTCATGATAGAAACTGATGCATCTGGAAAGGGGATTGGGGCGGTTCTTATGCAAGAAGGCCGACCCATTGCGTATATGAGCCAAACTCTTTCTGATAGATCTCAACAAAAATCTGTCTATGAGAGAGAATTGATGGCCATTGTCCTTGCTATTCAAAAGTGGCGACCGTATCTACTGGGAAGGCATTTCCAAGTATTAACTGACCAAAAGAGCTTACGGTTCTTGACTGAGCAACGGATTATGGGAGATGAGCAGCAGAAATGGGTTTCTAAACTTATAGGATATGATTTTGAGATTAAATACCGGCCGGGAAAGGAGAATAGAGCCGCGGATGCATTGTCCAGACAAATGCAGTTTGCAACATTGTCTACTGTTAGATGTGAAATCTGGGAGGGCTTAGACGACGAAATCCAAGCAGATGATAAGCTGAAACGCATTGTGCAGGATCTGCTAGGTGACTCCGCCAGTCATCCCGGGTATCAATTGAAGAAAGGCAGGCTGTATAAGGAGGACAGAATTGTGGTTCCACGAAATTCACCCCGAATTTCTTGGATACTCAAAGAATTACACGACTCAGCCATCGGAGGCCACTCTGGTTTTTTCAGAACTTACAAACGAGTCTCTGCTCTTGTGCATTGGGAGGGAATGCGGAAACGAATTCAGGACTACGTGCAGTCTTGTGAGATATGCCAGCGCAATAAATATCAAACTCTCAGCCCAGGAGGACTTTTACAACCACTACCTATTCCCCGACAGGTATGGAGCGACATCACAATGGATTTCATTGGCGGTTTACCTAAGGCTATGGGAGTGGACACGATTATGGTAGTGGTAGATAGGTTGACTAAGTATGCCCATTTTATTGCACTTAGTCACCCCTATACAGCTAAGAGTGTGGCAGAAACTTTCATTAAGGAAATAGTGAAATTACATGGCTTTCCGGAGTCCATCATATCTAACAGAGATAAAGTGTTTTTGAGTACTTTTTGGGCTGAATTATTCAAGCTAGCTGGAACTAAATTGAAGTACAGCAGTGCTTACCACCCCCAAACTGATGGACAAACCGAAGTGGTTAACAGATGTTTGGAAGCCTATCTCAGGTGTTTAACAGGTCGGAAACCTACCCAGTGGCCCAAGTGGCTCAACTGGGCCGAGTTTTGGTACAATACCAACTACCACTCGTCTGTCAAAATGTCTCCATTTGAAGCTTTATATGGCAGACCCCCTCCGGTGCTTTTCCGAGGTGATGTTCACCATTCTTCGGTTGATGAAGTCAGCAGATTAACAGCGGAGCGAAATGACATGCTCAAGGAATTACAGGAGCAGTTAGTGAAGGCCCAAGATAGAATGCGAGCTCAAGCTAACAAGCATAGAAGACCTGTGGAGTATCAGGTCGGAGAGATGGTTTACTTGAAAATCCAGCCATATAAGATGAAGAGTTTGGCTAACCGAATCAACCAGAAATTGAGCCCTCGTTACTATGGTCCTTATGCGATTGAGAAGAAGATTGGAGCTGTTGCTTATCAGCTCAAGCTGCCCCCAGACAGTAAGGTGCATCCCGTATTCCATGTGTCCCTCTTGAAGAAGGCCATCGCCCCCACAGCAGATTTTCAACCCCTTCCAGCTTGTATGAATGAAGATTGGTTGTTGGAAGTTCAACCAGAAGCTGTCAAGCAACTCAGAACAAATGCCGAGGGTGAGCTAGAAGTGTTGATCAAGTGGCAAGGCTTGCCTGAATTTGAGAACTCGTGGGAGCTGGTGACTAAATTCAAGCAGGAATTTCCTTTCTTTCCCCTTGAGGACAAGGTGAGTGTTGTAGGGAGGGGTAATGATACATTAACGGGGGGTAAATTTGACAAAGTGTATATCAGGAAGAAGAAAAGAAATATGGGAGGACCGGTTATTGGGGATCACACCTCTAATAACTAAATCCTGGCCACCTGGGAACGTGCAAGGACGTGGGTACGTGCAGTGAGAGTCGGCGCAGAGGGGATTATAGCGGGCAGGGCATTTGGGAGTTGGCAGACTGGAAATTGGCTTGTCCTTAGGAGAGTGGGGACTCTGTAAAAACCTTTTATCCTTCATCCATGTTTTTCTCAGTTTCTTATTTGTAATTACGTTGATCCATTCTGATTCAGACTGTTTTCCTTTCAATATTATCAATACGAAGCAAGACCCTATCAGACAGATAGCTACTAAAAACACATATGGGATTGTCTGTCTTCACCATGCCGAGACGTTACATGTTGACAAAGAGTGTTTCCTTTCTTCTTGCGGTGCAAATGAAGCGAACATAGGTAACACTTGCGGCTTTAAAAAAGTAGCTCACACAACTATTAGAGCAAAAGAAACTTATTATGCTATTATATACTAGAGCCCCTAAACGAGTACAAAGATGAGCACAATCGAAATTTTAAACCACCTGTGACTGTCACAAATTGCAGGGTCGCCATGCCAGTCCCCAGCCTCATCATCCGGCTTCCTCAAATGGCCGCCGCACCCTCAGGTTCGGTTCTCTTGTTTTTTACATCAATTTATGCTCTTTTGTTATTGTTCCAAATTTGAAGTTGATTTAAATGAAATTTCTTGAGATAAATTTCTCTGTAGATGACGGGGTGGGCTGATGTCAATGCTTTGGGAAGGCTATCTTGCGCTGTGTAATGGTGTTGAGGTGGACCATATGCTCGGATCATTAGCTTCAATATAGGGCATGTCAACTAGAGCACTTTTCGAGAATCAGTTAACTTTCCATCAAAGAAAGAATATTTTCGCCTACCTTAGGCCATCTAAGAAACTTCTAAACTTAAAGGCCCTAGGGACTTGAAGATATTTTTGCGTACCTAGAAGGTTATTTTGAATAGCAGGCATACGAGAGAGTGACTTTGAGAAATACCCCAAATCTAAGAGTTGCATCACGAAGTGTCCCACAAATCATAAATATAATATGTTGATATACTATAATATTGCAAGGAGAAAAATAAAGACATAAATTACTAATGAGGCCAGTGCTAGATTTTGTATTGCGTAAGCCTCATTGCTCAATGAAGCTTAAGCCTCGAGTTTTTATAAAAGAGAATTTCTCCCTTCGTGGCTTCGTCCCATAATTTTTTTCCCACATTCCTTTTTGGGATGTCCCAAAATTTTCTTCCCATTTCCTTTTTAGGAATGATGTGTGTGTTTAGCATAATAGTAACTGTTAAGACCCGGGGTTCCATCCTAAAAGGTCAACCTGATAGGAGGAGTAGCCCGAAGCCTTATATAGTGTTGTATTGTTTTATAACTTTCCGGTGTGGGACAAATACTTTAACTCGCCCTCTCAGCCCGAATCGGGTTGAACAATATCAGATGTATAAATGGGCCAAACAGACCCTTAACAAGCTACTTGTAATCATGGGTGCTAAACAAGCAGTCAAACCACAACCGGAATTGACTTTGATACCATGTTAAGACCCGGGTTCCATCCTAAAAGGTCAACCTAATAGGAGGAGGAGTCTGAAGCCTTATATAGTGTTTTATTGTTTTATAACTTTCCGGTGTGGGAGAAATACTTTAACAGTAACACATATTGTTATTAGAACAAAAGAAACGACACAATCAAGTTGAATAACACATAGTATCCAAATAGTAATTTCAAACATACATAATATCAAATATTGCCTGATTGATAAAGGTTTAGTCCATTAAATCAAGGAATGAAAAATAGGATCATCACTATCTCGAGCTTTACATCATAATGTTGATATTCCTAACATTAAGAACACAGTTAAAAGACTGTTAACCGAGAGAAAATGCTCGTGCAGAACCGCAGACGAGAAGAGAGAACTCTTTCAGAAGAACTGAGAAGTAGAAAATGTGAACTAACATTATGCAGACAACTTTTGTATTTATAAAGAAGAAGATAAGTTTTTTGTAAAACTGGGCCCAACTTAATTAAGTAAAACCTGATGAACAATATTGTGTTAGACTTATGTCCACCCCAAAACGTAAGTAATAAGTTGTACACCCCAGACATAAGTTGTGTAAGCTTTATTATTTCCTGTTTTGGTCATCGCCTCTGCCCTCAAAGCGCATTTGATGTATATCTCAAAGGTGCGCCTCAAAGCGCAAAGGCGTTGTGCAAGTACGAAAACTGGTGTTAGTCACCTCCCTCACCCCTATATGTAAGAAACTAAAAACTAAAATTTTTAAAGGACTTGGGATGTTTTCTTTTGGACTGAAATTTGCTGGTCTGGTACTAAAAACAGTCCAAAAGAAAGCATCCTTAGAGCATTAGACAAAGCACACATGTGGAAATAATAATACTTTATTTCACATCATTTTGGAGGCAAAAGTTCCATGCTGTGTAGATTGAAAAGTTCATAACCAATGGTAGTCAGGATTATAGATCTTACTGCCCAATTTGGAAGCAGGGCCACCAATGTTGGTGAAAGGCCACGATAAAGTCCCCTAAAGCCTTCAGTTTGTAGTATGTGTTGCATGCTGGTAACGATGATACTTCCTGATTAAATTAAAAAAACATATATTTGGGTCTTAAAAGTATAAGAAACGCATGAAACTTCGACAATGAGTATAAAAAGAGAAAATAAAAATAGTGGTTTCTGGTGGATTCATTCTTGAGATGATATTGTGGCCAGTGTAAGACTGTAATTCATCTGAATAAAAATACTTTCTACTGTGCTCCCCTTGCATGTTTTACCAAATGCTCTATAGTCTTCAGAGTTATGTATAAAAAGTTCGTTACAATTGCATTGCATATTCATTTACCCCTCTTAGTTAAAGCAACAATGAAATGCAGCAACTCTAATGAATTCCTATGTTTTTTTATGAAAAAAATAATTTGTAAATTTTTCTATAAAGCTCCCCAAATATAATAAAAATGAAATTAAAAAGACTAGACATGCATAACACATTGTGTTTTTGTAAGCCATAAATGGAGAAAAAGTGTAGTTCGCAGTCGTATCACACACCAATACAAGTCTGGATGAAAGAAAACAACCTACACTATTATCCTATTGTGGCACAAGGTGAATAAATACTATCAAAGAAAATGCAGCCCTCAATGCAGTTAAACTGAAAGATCTAGAAATTTGATCATAGGCATGTCGGAGCTATTGTTCTAGTATTGTTATCAGCATTTTGGAGCAAGTACCTTGAGATTCAGGAGAAGAAGCCTCAGCACAACATTAATAGGCAGACAGGTGGTCGTAATTTAGAATCTGGAAGTAACCTCTTTGCTCAAGGAAGGGAAGGCAGCGTACAACAACCTTTTCGACACAGGAGTAATGTCATTTTTTAGTACATGGTGCTATGTGCCTATATTAGGATTGCATCACGGGTCTGTATCATGAAGACAAAGGTTGTTGGGAGGGTATCGATAGAAAGGTGTGCGAAAAAGGGAGAAAATCTAACATTGTGTTGAAATGGAAAAAAATACTCCCTCCGTCCCGGAAAATTGTTCCCACATTGATTTGGAACAGAGTTTAAGAAAGTGGGAATAAAGTGGAAATGTATGGTTGTGGTTGAGTAAGAAAAAGGTAAATGAATTGTAGCCACAAAAAACTTTCCAAAAGGGGAAAGTGGAACAATTTTTTGGGACGGCCCAAAAAGGAAACCGGGAACAATTTTCCGGGACGGAGGGAGTAAGTGGGAGATGATGTTGAGTACTTGAATTCTCCTCTAATTTTCTTTGCTTTTGTAATATGAACTATCTTCAAATGGAGTTTTATACTTGTGAACCTTCTATTGAATAAAGAAAGGTTTGGCTATGGCTACAGGGTTATACCCCCCCCCCCCCCAAAAAAAAAACCCCAAAAAAAAAATAGGAAAGCTGTTAAATCATTACTCCCTCCGTCCCATACTCCCATAATCCCATTCTGTGTGTCTTACACGTGCAGCTGTGGCAAATGTTAAGGCAGACTTACTTGCAGTTTGTAATACTTAATTTAATATAAGAATATAAACTAACAAATTTACAATTATAAAAGTTATAGCAAAGTTCAATAAAACAAGAAGTTACATACTATCTCCATCCCACTAATATTGGGGCGGAAGGGGGTGGCACGGTTATTAAAAAAGTTTTCATGTGGTTGATATTAATTGATAAAGTAAGAATGATTTAGAGCCACACAAACTTTATCAAATTGGTATGAGACAATTTTAGTGGGATTTTCTAAAAAGGTAAAATGGGACAAAATTTGTGGGGCGGAGGGAGTAATTATTTATTATTGAAATTTAAATATATCACAGAAATTAAAGAAATGAAGAGGTAGTTTGACCAATAAAAGTAACAACTATGACACATAAAATGAGACACATAGAGTAACTTTTACTTCGAAATGGGCACTCAGCGTAGTGGGTTACACGGTTACACCCTTGGCCCTTAATGAAAAGGGAAAAATAAAAAACAACGGTATAAACCATTGCCCAGAATAATCAACGGTAGAAACCGTTGCCCAGAGCCAAAAGACTAAAATCCAATTTTATTCCAAGATGCTCAAGAATGAATCCTACAAGGGGTTTAAATAACCTTCTAACAACAGACTCAATAAAAACCATAATCGGGCCCAAATTAAGTAAACCCTAATTAGGCCCAAATTAACTCTACTAACTAATAATAGGCCTAATCTGAAAAACATAACATAAACTTTATAATAATAAATAAAACTAAAATCCCATCCCACAACCAGCCCATGGAGGTGGTTCTAGGCTCGTTCCCGCCCTTATTTTCCCTGCTCTCTATCAATCCATCCTCCAAAATAACCTTGTCCTCAAGGTTGAAATATCGTAGTTCGAGGGCTGAACATTACAACCATAGAATAGACTGGGAAATATCCCTCATCTCCTTCCGGACCCCTGGTCTTTCTGAACCTTTTTCTGGCCGGCTATTTCACAATAATCATGTTGTTGGAGCCCCAACCCCTCATCCTCCTCGGCAATTATTATCTGTAACTACTTAAAGGGGCAATCATGCCCTGATGTAAATGGTTTGTTACCTTCAAAGCATGATCATTTTGCCCACAATTCTTCTAACTCCTTCGGCGGAAGTCGAGTGAACCTAGAGCGTGCAGTAGACTGCCCGGACAAACCCTGACTTTGTCCCCGGTGGCTGCCCGCTATCTTTCAGAAAGCTGTCACTTGATCTATGTATGCTGCACCCACTCATGGTCGTGTTGTTGCCCCCACTTGGACGCAAAAAACTGCCTGAACGCACTTCCGTGTTGTAGGCTTGGCTTTCCCAGTCTCCATCTTGAAAGGAGAGTATGTCCTCAATATCTATGTAATTTTGACGCGATTTTCACTATGGGTCATTCGGAAACAGCCTCTCTGTACTTTAGTACAGGGGTAAGGCTGTGTAATCCGACCCCCCTTACCCCATTGTAGGTGGGAGCCTTTGCGACACTGGGGTGATGATGATGACGATCTCTGGCCAATTCCATTGTTATCTCCAAGTTGTTTGGCCTCAGCAACCGCAAGCAACCGCAAGTATCCACGAATCGGTACCTTCAATCCGTTCATGAAATACCCTAAGTAACGATCCTCGGACAATCCGGAAATCTGATTGGCCAATTGAACAAAAAGGTTATTATATTCCTCTACAGTTCCCAACTGTTTGACCCCGGACATCGTTCGAATCGACTGCCTTTGAACCGGAATCGAATCGGGCCACCAATGCTTGTGTGAATTCCTCCGAGGTCATGCTCAATTTCTGTGCCCTCAACCAGGTCAACCAGTACAAGCCAGCCCCTTCCATGGCTACCATAGCTGCTGCCAGCCTGCCACTTTCCTTCCAGGTGGGCTTTAATTAATTCGAACTGCTACTCAGCCCTGGCCATCCGTCCGATGGGGTCTTCACAATCGAACGATGGCAGCAAGGTCCGGTGTGGTGCTGCGCGAGTCTTCGTCGATTGTGTGAGCAAATGCGGCGTGCGCAGATGCGGTATCACTAGTCACTGCGGGCTCCTTCTGCACCGGGACCATGGCCTTCACGAGTGCAGCGAGAGAAGCCGCGATCTCTGCCAGCTGGGCGCCATACTCCTCTAATTTCTGTCCTTGCGCGTCGAACTTCTGATTGATTAGGGTTTGCTCGGCCTCCATCTCGTTCAAGCGACCGTTTTGAGACCTCGTCATTCTGGCGGAATGGGATCCGGCAGGTCGGACCAATTGATAAAAACAGAAAAATAAAAATTAATGGTATAAACCGTTGCCCAGAATAATCAACCGTAGAAACCGTTGCCCAGGGCCAAAAGGCTGAAATCTAATTTTATTCCAAGATGCTCAAGAATGGATCTACAAGAGGTTTAAATAACCTTGACTCAATAAAAACCCTAATCGGGCCCAAATTAAGTAAACCCTAATTAGGCCCAAATTAACTCTACTAACTACTCTACTAATAATAGGGCCAAACTAGAAAACATAACATAAACTTTATAATAATAAATAAAACTATAATCCCAGCCCACAACCAGCACACGAAGGTGGACCCAAGCCCATTCCCGTCCCCTGTTCTCCCTGCTCTCTATTAGCCCTTAAGTACCCTACGGTCCTTATTACAATAATCTATTACTAATTTACTACTTTTACTACTTTCGCGCCTACAATGAGTTCCTAGTTCAGCTAGCATGAATTTTAATGAATCAACTGTTTTTCTATGAACTTCCAAGAATGCCATTGTGATATGTGGTTGGAAGAATTTTTTTTTTTGCTAGGGAGGAAATACTGCACTGCCCATCAAGATGGAGGAACATCATATGCTCCAAGTAGAATCAATTTTAACATAACCCGGGAAATGGAGAAATTTGAAGTCGGAAACATGATTTCAACTTTATCTCTTGACATTGGAAACATGAACTTCATTTAACACTTGAACTTCTTCTTGAATTGAATAAACTTGTACTTTAACCGGAACACTTGAACTTCTTGTAAATGCATGGGCATCCTGAATTCGGAACTTGTACATTAGCATGTACTCCCTCCGTCCCTCAATGTTTGTTCTACTTTCCTGAAATGGATGTCCCAAAATGTTTGTCCTACTTTTTTCTTTCCTTATTTGGCAAACAAATCTTTTTCAAACAGTGTCAAACGGTGCAAAACAGTGTCGCTACAGTATCACTACAGTGTAAAGTCAAATTCATTTCCTTAATATTTGTGAAGTCAAATTAGGACAAACATTGAGGGACGGAGGGAGTACAATAGTCATCCACTACTTTACCATGTTATTCTTTTTTATTAAATAGTTGAACACACGGATATAGGTATTATCGGTTTGACCTAAAATACACACAATTTGTCCTTTATGATTCAACTCTAGCAAATCAGTTACCGGTCGATTGATTTCAATTTGTCAATTATTTTACAAAGTGGAGTATTTATTCACCATCAAGACTATGCTTCAGAGTTCAGACTAAGGAGAGGCTGCCATTAATTTAATTTTTTTTTAATCAAATTTTTCTCTAGTGTCACGGCCACCACGACTACATATATAAACATAAGTCTAGCACTCTCAAGCTCTTACAAATTGCTCTTACAATTTCACCATTCTCAAGTCGCACTGGTATAGTAAAATGCCAAACATACACACACACACACCTGCACATGGCCGCACACACAATTTTTTTCTTTTATAAATGATAAAAGGAGGACGAACCTCTACGTCCAGGCTGAGCAACCTCGGGCAGACCATGGACTTGCAGTCTCGTCTTAATAACATCCAGTGGACAAACAAATGTCGCAGCTATAGCACCTATACAAAATCCAACAAATCAGATCATATTTCCCTTAACTTTTGAGTGAAACCCTAGCTAATGCCGAAGACAAGAGTTGCAAAATCAGAAAAATCAAACATTTCGAATAAATTGGGAAGGAGTGAACTAAACTAACCAGCGGCAGCCCCGGCACCGGCGTCGAAAAAGATTTCCCTTACGCTCCGGCGGTCACCCGCGGCGGCGGTCATGTTAGCTGAATAGCACTTCGTATATCTTAGCTCACAATAAATAAAGTGATAACAATGAAACGAGAAAAGTGTCCCGGAAATCACTAGAACTTCGGAATCCCGAGAGAATGAAAAGAGAGAAAAAAAGGGTAAGATACTTTGGTAGGAATTTTATATTGAAACTTTACTCGTACATTCGGACAAAAGATGAAATTATGGTTTTGTACCGGGATAAGAGTCAGTTTGGTTCTCGAAGTTGCAAAAAGGAGGTCAAATAAATCTTTATATAGAAGATTCTGTCCGGACGTGCCATTTGAGGTGGCTCCCGGTGGAATTTTTTGAGCATCTTATTCATTAAGTCTAGTTTACTCATACCAAATTTCAGATAAAAATTCAATCGGGAAGACATTCAAATGAATTCTTGAAGATAACTGTGCCGTTAAAAGCGCACTTATCTTCAAGAATTCATTTGAATGTCTCCCCGATTGAATTTTTAGCTGAAATTTAGTATGAGTAAACTAGACTTAATGAATAAGATGCTCAAAAAAAATTATGAAAAAATTCTACCAGGAACCACCTCAAATGGGACGTCCGGACAGAATCTTCTATATAAGGACTTATTTGACCCCTTTTTTGCAACTTCGAGGACCAAACTGGCCCTTTACTCGTTTTGTATTATGGGGGTGTTTGGATATGTGATTGAAATTATGGTTTTATATTAGAGTGTTTAGGTGAAAGTGTAAATGTACTTATGTGTGTTCCAAATTACTGCTAGAAGCAGTTATTTAGAATGTGGAGAAGACCAACTTCCAAAAAACTGATTGTGACCCTGCTTAAAAGAAAAACAGAAGTTGGATCAGTTCCAAACACCTCATATGGTAAAAAAGAAATAGGGTGTGTTTGGCGGTATGTGAAATATATGTTTTAAAAAATGTTGTTCAAATTATTGAATAGGTGACAACTTCGGTACCTTTCTAAAAACAAGGGTACCGTACCTAGCATTCATTTGATTGGACCACATCAATTTATCAATTTTAATTTAGATTTGAATAATTCAACTGCTACCTTTTCATTGGTCCATAAGTACAAAGGTATGATACCTTATGGGTACCATAGAAACTACCTATTGAATATGTTTGGAATTGTTTGGAAAATGACCCACTAGTCAATTTTCAGCTTCTTTAATCAGAATTAATGGGTTTGACCATTCAAACATTCAAAAACACTCTGTTCACTTGCTGATTGACTTCAATAAGCTGGAAACAAAAACGCCACATGTGGAAGCGTTTTGCTTTAGTTGGTATGCTCAAAGTCTTTGCTATCATGGCTTATTCAAATGTGGATGTCCCTATTTAATTGTCTCATACCTTATTTGGTAAACTTTGTGTGGCTCAAAATCATTCTTACTTTATTCTTACTTTATCAATTAATATCAACCACACAAACTCACTTTTCTTAAAACCCGTGCCACCATCTCCCGTCCCATTTAAAAGGGGACGGAGGGAGTACCATTTACGTAAATCCATCTCTCTGATCCATTCATAAAATATCCTGATTTTCTATTTTTGGATGGAAATCTTGTCAAAAACTGTTTTTTTCTTTAACCTATGGGTTGATCTATGACATCTATAGATTCAAATTTCTTCTCCTTTGTAAATTTTTCATTTCTGTTTACTAACCTAATATTAGAATAATATATAATGTAAAAGATATTTGGCTCCTGGGGTTTTAAACATCTAGAAAGTTTGTTTTCCCTATGATTTTTTATTTGCGTGCACACAATGCAATTTGGTTTATATAGTTTATTACTCATATTAAGATTTCTATCGGAAATATGTAAAAACTATTTCTATCGGAACACTAGAGAATTTCTGTTCAATCCAATTTAGGTTATCTAGAATTTATGTTCAATCCAATTTAGGTTATCTTCAATATTATCCTTGACCGTTTCAAAATTACTTAAACATTAAGTGTAGATACAACATTGTAATTATCAACAATAACCACATATATTAAATAATATATAGGTATATTTGTAAATGTCTTATTATACTCTAATGACTATTTCCAAAAAGCAATTTTTGTCAAACATTTTCAAACAAACTTATATGACCCGCTAATCAAAGTAGCTAAAATAACTAGCTATTTACGAGCTGCTACCTCGGGTCTTGCGGGGCCGGGGTGTTACAAATACAATCCGCCAACATCTAACGGCCAATCATCAAACATGACCTTTGAATACTCAGTTGTATTAATAACCAAAGATTATTGTAAACATTAAGTTTGTCTTGTGGGTCCTCGTTTTATCTACAAGCACACATGATTTAGAATATTTTACGTCGGAATGTGAGACAGGAGAACGAAAATTTTCGATCTTCTTCATCATCATTACCTCAGTGCCGCAAAGGCTCCCACCTACGGTGGGGTAGGGGGGGGTCAAATGTACGCAACTTTACCTATGTACTACACTAGTAAAAAATGGCTTATACTGACACTAAATTAAGTAGTGTCACTGACAGTTTTAATGACATTGAAAAAGGGTCACAAAAAAGTGGGACAAGTGACACTAAATTTAGTCACTGATTGCTAAACAGATTTGTGTCGCAAGATTATGTACTGATTTCCCTATTATCAAACAATTGTAAAACAATTAATACTTTATGTATTGTATGATTAATCGTACTATCGTTTGGGCCGTATTATAATGTTAGGCTTCCAAATACTTAATTTGTGTTATCTTATTAGATATAAGAGCCCAACATTATGTGAAGAAAGTTTCATAACCCTTCTAGACATAATAAGGAAGGTCGGGCAACCCAAGTGTTACTTTGGACCCAGCCTGCTAAAAATGACAGGTTTAATGGAAATGGATAACCTATAACTACTTGCGGGTATCTCACACCTATTATAGACTCCAAATAAATATTAGGAGGACTATAATAATTAATAAATATGAATAAAGGTGTGAGGGAACCCCTAGAGACAAAAACAAACTCCTATGGAAGTAGGGTTTTCCTCCTATAATTGTACATCATATGAATTATTGGGACAGTCCTACACATATTAGAAGATGTGTACACATATGATGTAGAAGGTTGAATTGGTCTTATTAAACTAGAATGAGTACAAAAAGACATCACATGACAAAAGATAAAACAATGGGACACATTCTACCATTTTTGGAAGTATTGGTAGATATTTTGATCCCAAATTGATTGGGATCACTTGAGAAACATCCCACTTGATTTATGTACCTGGAATAAAAGCAAATAAGGTGAGTTGAGTGGCGGACAGGCTCACACATTTCAAAAGAAACAAAAAGGGAGGCCCACCCCATGTTTGACTGCAATCAAACACTTTACCCTTCTCTTTTGTGAACCACATGCCTTGCTCACATTATTGAGAGTTCTTAGAGATTCCCACAACCTCCCACACGATCTCCCAAAGCCTAGGAAATAGAAGAGCTACACAAAATAAAAAAGAGCAAGAAAAAGGAATTTGTCCGCAAAATTCTTATCAGTGCGTACGAGGTGGATTGTTCATTTCATATCTCGATCTACACTCATCCAAATTATGCGTGTGAGGTGCCTAAAGAAATCTATCAAGATAGGGAATCTGTGAAGGTTCATTTTGCAATGAACAGAGTAGTGGAAGATCTGCAAATAATCAAAGACAAACACAAACTCGCATAAACATATTTACTTCTCTAAAGTGAGTTTGAATCCAAAACCTTCCATCTCATTACCTTAATCATACAAATGATTGAGGAAATTATTATAAACTATTAAAAGTGTAGAATATGTTCTTGATAAGGTTATTTTATTGATGTAAAGATTAGATACTAACCTAGAACAAACCTCGAAAGGTTAGGAAACGAATACGCCGGAATGCACCCCTTTCTAGGGATTGTTTTCATACCTTTGGTTAGGGGATAAACTAGCATCTTGAGGAAGCTGCTTAACACTCATTTCTAAGCAAGGCACCAGTCATCAAACTTCCTTGGCCGAATCTTTGACCATTGGATTGAAAAAGAGAAGTTTGAAGCTCGTTTGAGACAAGGATCGACATCTAGTTGCTTACAACTTGTAGGTTAAGCATGAGATTACTTAAATGTCTAAATCATGTTTTCATGGATTATGATGCTTAAATATTGATAAAATATGGATATATTTAATAAGGAATGAACTTGATAACGATTTGAGGTCATATTGATAATATGGAGTTAAATGAGCTATTAATGGACTGTGTAGATATATAAATGAATATTTATATATTGAAATTGGATACTTAAGTAGCTTCAACATATCTCTAAATATGTTGGGACTCACAAATAGGAATATTTGATCTGATAATAATAACCTTAATAGTATTGAGATACTAGTTAATGAGTGTTTGTAATTGTTAATATAATTGATCCTAAGGTTTGGATTGTATGTGATGCACTTGAATATACTTCAAGTGTCTGAATTGATTTAGTATTAAGCTAAAATCATGTTATTGGTAATCCTTAAGGATGACCCAAAATAGTTTATTGATATGTCAATTCTAGGCATATGTTTTGCTTAGGAATTCGGCCTCGGTGCATGGTGATGTAATAGAGTCGAGTTCTAGAAATGCATGGCGAGATAGTAGACTTGTGCTCTATGATTTGTATGATGTTGAACTAGAGCCGAGCTCTAGGATTGCATAGTGATGCAATAGAGCCGAGCTCTAGAATGCAAGGTGAGGTATTTGATCCGATTGATATGAATTTGCATGGTGATGTAATAGAGCCGAGCTCTAGAATGCAAGGTGATGTATTGTGGTTGAACTCTATGAATTATCGTGACTTGTAGTCACGTGGAATGGGGATGGTGATTTCTAAATGAACATGGGCCCACGGTCCGACTACTTGATTTTATATAAAGTAAGTGTATTTTCAAAAGGGCTAACTTGGGGTTACGAACCATATTGTACTATCACTCTATTTGAGGGCCTTGTGTTTAAAATACTTGTTGTATATCTATTAGATGTCATCCACACCAGTACTGTATAGCCTTGTAAAGTACTGACCCATTCGGGGGCGTCCCACCACCATTTCAGGTTGAGCTAGAGCTTGCTTCATGTACCCGTTGCTCGGACGATCATAAAGGAGAGAATACGTGGTTCGTGCTTCCTCCATTCCGTTTTGAACAATAATAA